AGGAAACCAAATCAATTGTCAGAGGAGAACTAGAACAGAGGGACGGTGTTGGAGACTAGAGTAGAGATGCCCGTGCTTGCGGCACTTTCTAGAGGCCACCAGGGAAACTGCTGGTTCCTCAACAGCTGAAGAAAGTCAAGTGACATCTATTAGAGGTAAGGACTATCTACATATGCAAATTAGCTTTTAGTTTCTATTTTCTTACTAGTTTTATTTTCAGCTCATTTGTAAATTCTTAAATGTTGTCACCAGACATCTGGGTAAAGAGAGCAATGTGAGAAAGAAAGCCCCTCATAATTTTGCAGTTGAAAAAAAAAAATGCAAGGAAAAAAGGGAACCAGGAAGAAATTGATAAAGAAAACTGAGAAAACAATCCTGATTGGCATCTTCAGACATTTGATGATGAAATATTCAAAGATCATTTATTTTTAAAAACTATCTGGACAGAGTGCCTTGTACCCCAGCTACTGGAGCTGGGGCAGGAGAACCACTTGAGCCAAGAAATTCATGGTCAGATTTGACAATGCAGTCAGACCCTATTAAAAAACTCCTGTAGGAAATTAAAAATTTTGAAAGAAGAATTATAAGCTAAAACCAACAAAGATTCTCCCTGACAACTGAACAAAAGTAAGAAATTGAAGAAAGACTATCAATCCAGGCAAACAATAAGCAGCACTATCAGCAGTACATCTAGGAAGAAAGATTCAGGAAGATGAAAAGGGGCAGAGGACAGAGTGTGCATTACCAAAGAACAAGAGAATCAAGGTTGACAAAATATTTAGCCAGGTGGCTAAGAAGACAACTACACTTAGACATAATGTGCGAAATTTCAAAAATGCCAAGGAGAGGGAATCGTTTGCCAACTTCAAGATAAATTAAAACTATCATTACAGTCCCAAAGAATAAGAATCAGACTAGCAGCGGATTTCCTCCCCTAGTAAATGAGAAAAAGAACAAAGCTCACGAAGCTCTAAGTGAAAATCATCCTCACTCTGGGATGCTATGTCCAGCTGAAACCATCAACCAAAATAAGGGAATAAAGAAATTTAGGGACACAAAGAACTTTCAATCTTCACTTCTCATTCTCTCTTTCTCACAGGAAGGGTTCTGAAGATATATTCATGTCAAATGATGAGCAACCATAAAGACAATGAGGAGTCCCAGAATCTGCAGGACCAGAAAAGCAGGCGTGCAACCACCCAGCGTGGCATGTGGGTGGCAGGCCTGGAGAGCAGCCCATCCAGATAGAACCTGGAAGATCAAGGGTCTTTCTAGGAGCAATATGGGGAGAACAGATTCTTCAGAGGACAAAACATGACAAGAGCTTCAGGAAGAAATGTGATCATGATAAAGGCAAAGAGTACAACAACCAAGGTACTCACAGAAAAAATGGACTAAGTTGCAAACATAGTATTTGAAACTAAAGTGAAAGAATCATTACATACTGTTGTCCGCATTCAGCATTAATCGATAGCAAGAGCAATTAGCCAAGTATGGTGGCACACATGTGTCACTCCAGCACTTTAGGAGAGGCTGAAGCAGGAGGATCACTGCAGATTCCAAACTAGCATAGGCTACATAGTGAGTTCAAGGTCAGTCTGAACTATATAGAGAGACCCTGCCTCAAACAATCAAAAAACTCAAGGTTACTGAACAAATTGATAGTGTTAACACTGGTAAGACAGAAAGAAACTGAGAAGTGGAGAGACAGTGGAGACAGTGGAGAGGAGAAGCAGAAGCGGTGTCCTTATTTTACAAAACAGGAAGTCAGGGAACATAACCAGTCTATGCTCCACATTCAGCCAGCGAAGTGCCCCTTAGAGTACCAGGTCGATGTCAGCATAACAAAAAAGTCAATGTGGTTGCAGTGCAAACTGCTGGTCTGTGTCATCAAAAACATCAGCTGAATACAAAAGTGCACAAATACAACTAAACACACAAGTCTACAAGAGCACACAGGGTACACAATGGTGCGTCCTACAATACAGTGTACACATGCACAGGGTACAGCAAGTCTCTCTGCCCCACGTCTCTCCTCTCTATCTGGTTATCAGCCAGCCCTAGATGCTCCAATCATATAGCATCCTTATGTGTAGGGCTTTATGTGCACAACAATCTATTAACTTCTTCCATCAGGCCATCTTCATTCTAACAAGTGCTGAAGTGCAGTGATTTGTTTCCCAGCATGCTGTGCTGGTCCCACCCGCACTGAGACAGAGATTGAGACTGGGCATGGTGGCATGCGCCTGTAATCCCAGCACTTGGGAGGCTGAAAACAGAAGGACCACTATGAGTCCAACCTACATAGTGAGACCCTGTAGATCCTGTATACCCTGTACAACATGCAAAAAAAAAAAAAAGCTTTCTGTACAGAACAGTTCACCAGAGCAAAATTGGACCTAATTTGCATGAGGAACACAAAGAGAACAATTAAGTCAATTAATATTTCTAACAGGTATATATATTACAGAGTAATTACAAAGCATGCTTATGACTAGTCAATCTAATACATGCTATACTGCAATATATTTTTCCATTTTAAAGTGAACAAATCACAACACATTTTAATAATAACTATGAGATACAGAAATGTAACAAAATATGGTCATTTCCAGGGGAATGTGGGATCAATGGTTATTTCACTCTTTTCCTTCAGCACCTCTGCAGTTTCCAAGTTCACTGCAATGAGCATGTATTCTTCTCTCAAATGATAACACTAAATACTCAGAAGTTGGAGGAACTGTTACACTGAATAATTGTATTTCACTTACAAAGAAAACATAAATATATTAGTGAAGGAGAATAAGTTTATAGAATTCCCCAAAAGAAAATTAAACTTTAAAAAAGTTAATTTTTTAAAAGAACCTCTCAATACTAGTTGTGACTTGGTTAAAAAAAAAAAAAAATCTTTCCTAACAAGAAGTAGCCAAAATATAGCATAAAAGAAGTTAGAGTGAGGAAAATAGGGCCTCGTTCTCACTCCTTGTTGTGTACACCACTTAGATGATCACCATTTCCATTTCTTCTACCTTTTTTTTTTCCCTTTCCTGCTCAATGCTAAGGACTGAACCTCCCCACCCCCCATATCTAGGCCAGCTCCCTACCACTGAGCCACACCCTTAGTCCTCCTTTATTCATTCTCACTATGGGCAACAGGACTCAATTTTAAGTGCTCCACTTCAAGTTAATCAAGTCTCTCCATTTGGGACCAAAAGTGTTTGAGTTTTAATGAGCTCAGCCTTGCCCACTGATGTAAAGAAAAAGCTGCCAACTCTGTAAACCAAAAAAAGGGAAAGTTTTTTTTTTTTTTTTTAACCAGGGCAATGTCCTATCTCTCTGTCACATATAGTAAGCAATTTTAAATTATCACAGTACTGTGTACTATACATTCTATAAAACCAGGTCAGTACCTAGAAATACTGGTACTGCTGTAAATATATGTCAAATTCTACAATGGATAAAATTCTCTGGAAGATGATGTTTTTGAGATAGAAAAAAAGGTATACAAAAGTAAAAGAAATGTGGGTGTAGCTGCAATTTTTCATCTCAGAATTAAACTTTTTAAAATAACCATTATGTACTTTTGTTATTGTTGTTTGTCTTTTTGAGACAGGGTCTCGCTGTGCAGTTCATGCTGGCCTTGCGCTCACTTGGTAGCGCAGGCTGGTCTCTAACTCACAACGATCCTCCTGCCTCAGCCTCCTGGGATTACATCCAACACTATTACATCTTTAAGCCTATATTTTTCCTATAAAAAATTCATAACAAGTCTATGCCAGTTTTTATGAAATGTCTAAGTCATTCAAAACAGCCAATAATTATAATTTTTTGAATAAAAAGTACTAACTACATTTCTAATGCAAAAATATCCCAAACAAGAAAACTAAAAGCTAAGAAGGTCTTGGCACTTTTCTTTTTATCATTAAAGATTTTTTCTCCCAAGTACTATCCAAGGGGCCAAGGAGATGGCTCAGTGGAATAAGCGCTTCCCTGACAAGGGCCTGAGTTCAATCCCTGGTTCTGCAAAAAATAAAAATAAAAACAAAAATAAAAAAGTAAAGAGGTTACTCAAGTACTATCCAAATTAAAATACAGACATTTTAATACACAGAATAAATGTATATCCGTTAGGTAATTCTGAATATAGGATAAGTTAAGCCATTATAAAGAAGGAAAAACAATGTTAGATGTTGACTTTACAAGTTTTTAAAACTTGTACTCTATGCCACGGATACGCCAATATTTTACTTATCCTGTGCATAAAAGCATGAGTTGATTGTTAAAAATGATTCTCCCTGTCTCCCACTTTCTGCCCTCTACAAGTACTGTTACAGAACCGAATAGGACATCTTCAGTCAGCCTCATCCGGTTACATGCATCTTCCACTCACTGACAACTATCTTTTCATCTCAGGGAGTACAAACATGTCCCTGCCTCTTCTCCGCTACACGTACAGACCAATCACCCCTTGAATTTGACTCAGCTGGAAAATTCTTTCTGGTTACAAAGCAGCCAAGAACATACTTTTTGGTTTCAAACAGACCCAGCCTGAGGTTATATCCTATCGTAACCATGACACCGAGAAATAGTCTTATACATTAGAATTAATGTGATTTTGGATAATTTTCCTTACTGCTAAAATTAAAGAGTAATATTTTTTTTAAAGTTAAGGCAAAGAGACAGTTATTCAATATCGCAAGGCTTACTTTGTATTACTAAATGCAATGTAAACATGTTATCTATATATACAACTAAAAATATTTACATATATATACATATGTATATATGTGTGAATGTATGCATATACAAGTAAATTTGATAGGTAGATTTAGAAATTACCTGTTGAAATGAAACTATAATACCCTGAGAAACAAAAAGGACAATGTGATACAAGAACACTAACCAAACCTACTTCTGTTGTTTTTTTTAAACTGCTTTTACTAAGTACACTAAATAGTCATTATACAACATACATACATATACACTCAAACACATAGTACCTTTAATTTTGTGTTCTCAAGATTCAGAGTTTCATTGTCATATTCAATTGACTGAAGTTTTCTAAGAATCTCTTCATATGAATTTTTTCCATGGGCTTCCATTTTCTTCAGATCTTCCAAAAGGTTATCAATTTGCCTTTATAAGATAAACATTTTATGAACGTTACAGAAACTATCATTCAAAGAACGCATTCTAAGTGCAGAAAATCAGTAGGGTGCCTTGTTTCAAATAGGGCGTTTACAAAAGTTAACAGGATTTACAGAGCAAGGGAAGCAAGCAGAGCTAATCTATAGGATTAGCACCAGAGTGGCCTTGATTAGAAAGAAGTACCCAATTTTTATTGATGAGGCCAATAGAAATTACATAACAAGCTCTCTGCTAGTCAATAAATTTCTAAAACCATCAGGCCCAGATCTGCATATCTGTCTCTCTCATTTGCACACATGCACGTTATTTACACACAATGTTGAGGACAAGCTTGAAGAAAAAAGTCAAGTAAGGCAATGACAACTAATCTTTAGAAGCAAATTATATGTTCATTTTTAATGATAAAACTGAACACACAAAATATATGAACAACACAACATAAATATATTAAAGGTTTGTGTTAGACTACCAGTAATAACTTTCAAAGCATGCAAGCTGTACTTTGACTCATAAATTTTTGTCATGCATTTAAATTACTGTAAGAAATATTTTTAGGATTTTCAAAACTTTTATTTGTCAGATTCTAAACTTTTGTAAATAGTACCACACATTCTTGTTTGAGAAATGCCACTTCAACTGAAGACAAAGTTCATATTAATATTGACTATAACAGATAAATGACCTACATTCAATTGCAAAATACTAAGTTTTGCAAGTTCAACTTTTTTTTTCCTTCTTCTTCTTCTTTTTTTTATTTTTTTATTTTTAGCTTAATTTTATATGAAGTGGAGAATAGAAGTGAGAGAAGACAAAAGTTTGGAAGGATTTTTTTTTGGGGGGATGGCTCAGGATGCCTTAAGGGCAGGTCTGGTAAGGCATAAGACTCTGGGGATTGAACCACAGAATCCTGAAGCTGACTGCTTCGCTTAAGCAGGCACCTAAACAATGGAGCTAATTGGCAGGCCCCTGCAAGCTCAATGCCCATGCAGTTTTAAGGAGTAATCATTTTTTGTAACATAGTAAAAAAAAGTTCATAGAATTACAAGTAGTAGAAATAAATTATTCAGGCAGCACAGTACCTTTACCATGGAACATCCAGAAGAACCAAAATACTGACATTGAGAGAGGAAAGAACTAAAAATATTTCTTCCTAAAAAAAATCTAAATCTTTTCTTACTTTTTCATTGTTTCGATCTGAACTTCCAACTCTGTTTTTTCTATTACAATGTTCTCATAATGGCTTTTCCAGGCACTGGAAGCTGAAATTGTTTCAGACAGCTTGGCTTCCTAAAAAATACATGAAGTGCTCATCGTACAATTTAAACACATTTTGCTTCCTTCAAGGTCCTAAACACAAATTAATTACAATAACAAGACACACTTCCAATAAAGCATACAACTCCTATTAGAGTATAGCATAGGGCTGGCGAGATAGCTCAGCGCTTCAGCAAGTACAAGGGGTTTGATCCCTGGTCCCACATGCCATGCCAGCCCCACACCCAGGGTGTGCTGAGCTGGTGACCGAGTCCAGATGCACACCTATAATCCCAGCACTGGGGAGGCTGAAAATGAGAGTATCACTTTAAGTCCGAGCTGAGCAATGGGACCCTGTACCAAATACATAAAATGAAAAAAAAAAAAAAAGAAGAAGAAGTATAGTTTTTAACTTTGAATATAGGGAAGCTCTAAACTTTAACAAAATATCTATATTGATATTATTTTCTATCTACACAATGGCAGTTTCAACTTAACATTTAAAGTATGTCAGTGTAACTTTTTAAAACAATATTTTTGTAATGAAGATAATTTTCTATTTATTCAACTTTTCATTTCAATTTCACATGCAGAAGATGCTACCAATTCCACACACATGTACAGTATAAACAGAGACTATTCCTAATTTCACCACCTCAGAACAGCCACTAGTGCAGCCTGACTGATCACAGTGACGACGCAAGCTCTGTTCTGCAGGGATCGCCCACAACGGCGCCTCAGCACTGCTGCTGTCAGCAAGCAGCTGAAAGTGGTCGCCGGGGCACAGGCATCTTGAACGAAAGAGCAGGGATTTTTGTCTATTTCAGTCATCATGGTATTTCCTTGGACCCTGACAGTGTCTGGGGCACAGCACGCAGGTCAGACAGCTCTCCAAAGACCCACCTAAGGAACCAGGCCCTGGGCCCCTCAACGCGCCAGAGAAAAACAAACCGAGTCTGATTCAGCTTGCTAGGATTGGATTAGTGGTGACTCAGGGCTAGTAATGAATTGGAAATTAGAAGACCAGAACCAGCGACATCAATGGTTAACACTTATTGCAAGATTCCATCTCTCCTTTCTTTTGGCAAACAAGGATTAATGAGCATCTGCTATGTGCAAGATAGAACTGTTCACAATTTCCATACTAATATTTTTGTTATGAAAGGGCTAGTATGTTCGTATTTTATTTGGGATAAAATTTAATATAAATTACGGCTGATGATTTGGGTGTAATGCATATCATCAAGTATGCATTTATATTATAATATAAATTAAGATATTTGGATGTTTTACCTATAAAATGGAATTTATACATGAGACACAATTGTTAACTGAAATTCATATGGAGTATAGTACTTAATTAACTGTGACTTTCCTAGAAGGCAGAAACTAGTCAATACTATCACCTTCCTAGGAAAGATTTTTTTGAGGTAACTTACCTTTGCTTTTAAAAAAAATCTCACAATTAAATAAATAGATGTAAAGAAGGATCTAGTTTTACAGAAAACATTGGACTAATTCTTTTTTTTTTTCTAATTATTTACTTATTTATTTATTTAGTCCTGCCTCAGCCTCCCAGTGCTAGGATTACAGGCATATGCCAGCAAGCCCGGTTTTGCAAAGAGCACTAGGGTTTTGAGGCCAGCATAGCATGTGGTACGGGGAATCAAACCCAGGTACCTGCACTTGCCAGGCAGGCTCTTAGGCCACAGAGCTATCTCCCCAATGCTGGGCTAACTAGTGTGCAGAATTACAGGGCATTTAATGCCCCGGATTCCAGGTACTAAGTATCAGGATCAGTGCAGCCCAGTACTTTCAAAATCCTCCTTTCTTCTTGTAGTCATTCTTAAAATAGACACAAAACAAAAGCTCATTTTACCCTTTTTCCACTAGACTGAAATTTCTTACAAACTAGTAAGTAGTAATCTTCTAATGACCAGAGACCATGCACCCTTTCAAATTCTCATTCTTGGGCAGGCCAAATAGCTCAGTGGATTAAAGTGCCTGCAAACAGGCACAGGGGCTGGGGGTTCCATCCCAGGGCCTGCTGTGCCAGCCCCACCCTCCAGGACATTGAGACTGGGCATGGTGGCATGTGCCTATAATCCCAGCTCTTAGAGGCTATAAACAGGCAGATCACGATGAGTCTGATCTAGTAGTGAGTCTGAACACCCTGTAGACCCTTCCCTAAAAATAAATGAATAAATAAATAAAATTCATATTCTCCTTGATTTTTCTGAAGTACTTGGTAAATTTTAGGCATATTATAAATGAATGTGTGATGATATTTCATTGGATGTTTATTTAATTCTTGTTGAACTCTTCACGTTTTGGGCTTAAGTTACAGTTTAAATAGTGCTATTCTCAGGGGAACTGGATAAGCCAGCTCCTGCCACTTAGGACTTAACATTCTATTAGAAGGGAATAACAAAAATAAATGCAAGATTCGGATTGTAATAAGTGCTCTGACAAAATTAAATATGAATATAATTGATCATTGTAGAACTGATTTTTAAAGAGTAGTCAGGGAGACTTCTGAGAAGATGGCAGATGAACAAGTACTTAAATGTTTTTTTTTTTAAAAAACCACCTAAGGGGGGGCTGGAGAGATGGCTCAGTGGTCTAAAGCACCTACTTAGAACAAGTTCAGCGAAGCACAGGGACCACGGTTCAATCCCCCAGCACCACATG